CTTTTTTAAATTGCTTGCTAAGGTTTATTGGTTGACACGAGTAGTCTTTTCCATAAATTTTCGTGCAAACTAAACACAAAGCATGTTGGACAAGCGTTGGAAGAAAATTTAATAACATTGACATTATTGTTATAATTGGTCATAATAGCTTTTATTATTTTTATTATATATGTAATGGATTATGCCGAAATCACTAACTTAACCGAATCGGCCAAACGATAATTCGGCTAATTTTTATCAGGTGTTTCAGGAATTATGATATTAGATATTAACCGGAAACCCCGGGTAAATTAGAATAGATTTTTCACACTGGGTCACTACCTTGGGTAATTTAAGTAAAAATGTCAGGAAGGTAATTTTGCATATATAACTATCTAAAACATCAATAAAATATATGAGTGCTGTCAATAGAAAACCTATCATCGGGCTTTCAATGTTCAGTTGTTTTCTGTATGCCGTCTATGGACAATCTATCATCGGAATAGATTGCCCATAGATAGCCAACTGAACATTGAAAGCCCGATGACGGGTTTTCTATTGTAGGCGTCCCCAAATAAATCAAAGATTTTCCCACCTAAAAATAGATACTGCGGCACAATTAACCAATATTCAGTAAAGACTTATTCCAAATGAGTGCCGCCGAGGGAAAAGGTCGTTTGACTTTCAATTATATTTTATATACAGTTAGCCGTCTATGGAAAATCTATCATGATGATAAATTTTCCAAAGACAGGCAAAATATAATTGAAAGTCCGAGCCCTTTTCCTTGGCAGTACTGCGGTACTCAAATAAATCAAAGATCGTCGCCACCTAAAAATAGATGCTGCGGTGCTGTAACCAAAATTTACCGGTTACAATATAATAATAATAATAATTGGAGAAACAAAAATTCTACATGTACTATGGCTAAGAAAATGAAACGCTAGAATTAATGATTAAAACCTTACCATTAATAAATTGATTTTATTGCTAAGCCACGCAAAGTTAAGTTTTCGTTTTGCATAACCCGTCGATCCAATTTCCATTTTTGCTATTTAATTTTTTCCATAGATTTATCCGGTGTCACCTGATGGCGGCCTTAATTTTCCAAAATGAAAAATTTACAGTTTTTTTTTTCAAAATCCGACCGCCGATTAGAATTTCAGACTCACATGTTATGCAAAACGAAAATTTTACTGTTAAGTGAAAATAAAATATAATCGTGACAATAATTGCGATTCCAATGTGAAACTGAAAACGTGACCTGAAGCAGGCACGTGCCCTCGGTTATTTCCAAATTCGGATTTCCCGGCCAGAAATGACAGAAATGGCGAAAACGGCGATTTTGGGATTAATGGCGTTTCTGTCAATAAGGGATTATAGACAGTAATGGCTGTATAGGTAGTTTTTATAAAATGGTTATTATAAAATAAAGGCTTTCTGGCCCTTGAGAAAAGTAACTCCCGCCTTTGCTTTATTAATAAATTCTCAAAATTCCGACCCAAATATAATACATAATAAAACCCGTACATTCACTAAGTTGCTATTAGGACAATTCGTCCCCTAAACACTCTTAAAACTCTGTTTAACCGCTCGCCAAATCCAACACGCCTTTTTTTGACCCAACCTAACCTAATATTTGGTTACACGAAGCAACCTTCGCACAAGCGACAGATTCGCCGATTTTTAGGGCTGTCACCAAGATACATGATTTGAAATTAATTGGCGTGCTAGAAGAAAAGGATACATGTACTGTAGTAATTACTCATACTCTAGAGATTAGAATTAAAGAAAATTAAATTATTTTATAAAAATTTTCAATATAGCGAACTTGTGTCCCTATCTATCTTGTTTAGCTCTTCTACCATATTGGTACGAAGAATTAACCACCTATTATTTGAATGTTTTGTTATACTAAAAATCTTAAATTTAATATTATTAATATTATTAATATTATTAGACATAGCAATTTCCATCTATTAAACTTCTTTTTGTTGAAAGTCTCTAGTATTCGTCAAAGGCCTCGCGAATCCTAAACCTACATTCTTACGGTGTTAGAATAAGATGAAACACGTAGCGACGTCAGATCGATTCAATTATAATGATAAAAAAAACTTCGATTCAAGTATAATGAATAGAATTATCATTAAAAGAATTACGTAAAGTTATCTTTACATCATCGTCTTAATAAATACTTAATTATTACTATCACTAATCCTGTAATCTATAGTCTGCATTACAAACGACCTGAGTCATTTCTCAATCGGTAAAATCGAGAAAATTATATGTCAATTAATAATCGACATAAATTGAAAATGACGCAGAACATAGTAACAGCATGTACAGTACAGTGCATCTTTTATATATAAATAATGCATAAAATAGTATCGCATAGAAAGTAAATTTCTTGAATTATCGATTTCAATTAAGTGAAGGACCTAGGATTCTCAATATTTTTGCATAATATTATACGCCAAAAATAATATGTAACTGTTCTATGAATACTAAAATAAGCCATTACCGAGAATGAAGTATTGGTTGAGATTTTTAGACTTCATACACGTACGTACGTACTTATTTAATAGCTGATAGATAGTAAAGTAATAGACCATTTGAGAGTTCTGTGACCACCGCAATAAACATAATACCGTAATGCTCGGACCAAATTTTTCACCAATTAAGGTGAAGATAATTTATGATGCTGTAGTTTTTGTTCATTCATTGTTGTCGACGCACTTCGTGTGACCATACATCTGATTCTATTGGATCATATTAGCCTCACATAAAAATTTTAATTGTAACACTACACATAAGTTCTTCCCTAGATTCGGGATTAAAAAAGGAAAAATGGAAAAATAGGCAATTCATAATACAGATTTTCTGACAATATGCAAAAAAAAAAAAAACAGTTGAAATCAATGGTGTCAAACTGCATGTACCTGTATAAGAGCATGTTACATACAAAGAAATGCCAATATTTCAAAAATTTAATGACAATTAAGTAAAATTTTTTGCCCTAATTTTATTTTAGTTTTAGTATATAACGATAAGCTACGTATATCGATATTAATATTAACGAACCAAAAAGGAACAAAAATGCGCAGCACAAGTTTGTGGCTTAAAAATGTAACAAGCGTGGTCTCCTAAAACATGTTACACATTAACAAATTTAGTGTCATGTCATATTGTTATGGTATTTTTAGCCATTAATGTCATTATGATATAATAACAACAAACAAAAAATTGCATCATTATACATCCCCGTCAATAAATAATATCCAAAGATATAAATACGTATAAGCTTTAAGTAAATTTCATAAATATTTTCAACATCTAATAAAAAAATGGCTTTGTTTTATAATTTTCCACCCATTATAAATCAACTAACATATGTAATAATTTCTCAAGCTCCTCTTTTAGCGTTTATTTCCTTATCTCTTAAACCTATAACCAGCAAATTTCACTCGTACGTACTCTGGATTATAATCTTTCTTCATGTTCTGATTCCTTTCACATATCATGGAAAATATGATCAGCGCATACAATTCGCAGCATCAGCATTTGCGACACTTTTCTCTTTCAAAATGATAATTTGGATGAAAAAAAATTATCAATTTTCCAAAGACTCGAAAATTAAAATTCCTTCATTTATTGAATCACTATTTAACTTGCGACCTAATGCATTAACTATTCCTGATAATTCAAATTATCAAAAATATATTGATTCTATAACAGTCGCAGATCTTAATTCAGAAATGATTAATCACACAATTAAAACTATTGTTAAATCAGTGATTTTAGAATTTTTAATCAAATATTTAAGAAATAACAGACCTGAAATTCCAGAAAGATCATACGGATTAAGAGTTTTAGATTATTTCTTTACAGGACATCCATTTATTGAAACATATACTTTCTTTTATTGTATATTGTGGATTATTTCTGTAATTATGAACTTTTCAATCATGTGGAACGTTAATTGTTTAGCTTTTGGAATAATTTTAAGACCTCTGTTATCTAATGGTGAAAATAAGAATGAAAAACTGAGAGAATCAAAATCTTTTAAAATAATTGTCAAAGAATGGTTAATTCTTTCGATATTCTACACGAAACCTTTAATGTGTAATCCATATTTTTCAACTAGTCCTCGAGATTTTTGGTCAAATCAGTGGCAACAACTATATTATGAGGCTTTTCAAGAACTTGGTTACCTTCCAGTTCGAAAATATTTTAGAAATAATAAAACTCTTGGGCATGTACTAGGAATATGCGCTGTTTATTTGATAAGTGGATTGTTTCATGATTATATTGCAATAGTGGTTTTTAATCATTTTTCGATAGATTTTATAATATTTTTCTTGTTTCACGCTTTACTTTTAATTTTATGGGAGGTTATTGAAGGTAGAATTTTAGGAAGAAGAGGAGACATCAAAGATAGTTTTATTATCAGGATTTTTAAAGTGGCATTATTTTTATCAATTGCGTCATTTAGTTTGCCACAGTTTGCAGAAACTTACATTAAGGGACAATATATCCATTCATATCTAGATATAAATAAATCTTTAGTTAAATGGGCGGTTAGTTGAAAATTTATATAAATTTATATTTCTACTATTCTTATTTTATTATCAGCATTTTTACACTAGTATATGTATGCAATAGATTCTCATGATAGATATGTACGTACATGCTCACATTAGATACACATTTAAATAAATATAGTAGTATATAAATTTTCAAAATTTGAGTAAAAGATGATAATTTTAAAAATGTTACGATTTTTGATGCGAGTTACAACAGATTTAAATAATAGGATCTAAAAAATCCATTTAAAATAAAACTTCATGAACGTTTTTGTAAGCCATGTATGTAAAGAAGTAATCAAGTATTCTTAAAATTAATACTATGTGATTGAAAATTAATCTTTAAGGCTGAACAGTTTCTTAAATTAGATTCTATCGATAATATAAGTTGTCATAAATGTAAAAAGTTAAAGCGTTTTGAATAAGTATACACCAAAATAATCATGTAAAATTCAAATTTAGTTAGCATGTAAGAATTGATGCATTTTTTTTTGCCTAAAAGGTTTAGTGAAATTCTTTTAAAGGGTTTCAATAGGTACATTTTATTCCCTAATCCAAACAATGAACAAATCTAAATACAGTAAGGATTAAAGGGACCCTTATCGTTATACGTATGATTTTACTAAAATAATTTAGTCCATTCCCTTCATTTATTATGAAACAAATTAGTATGAAACGCTAATGCAATCCATCTTAATAAAAGACAATCCAATATGAATATATCGAAATAATAAATTAATCGTGAAATAAATATAGTTTATTACACTATAGCTATCATGAAAAAATAATTTAGGTTCATGAAATCATGTTCATGTCTTTCAATACTTTAAATTTTAATGATTTAAATGAAACATAACTATAATTTCTATTAATTACTGAAATCTAAATTTGTATTGCCCCAAGTGTTAGTTTGAAATAACATTGGGATGATCTTATATGACTACAAAATAAGATAAGTACTGTATGTACGAAATTTACTTATATTATGACTAATTCTGAAATTTTGCCTTTAAATTTGATTCCTTATAATGCTGTACTGAATCAAAATCTTTTATATTACGTAGTCTCACACTTTAAATTCAATAAACTTAAAATTATTATAAATCATGAAGCGTGTCTTAATTCCTCTTTTTATGCATGCACCTAATGGTTGTTGTATTTGTCAATCTGGTCATTCATTCAGAGCAGACTGGTGTTTAGACCTTCACGGTTATTTATCTCGCGAAGAGTTCGCTGCTAGAATTGATCAAATAAACAATCATGTCAAAGACGTTGAACTAATGAGTTCAAAAACAAAGCGTGTATTGTATTTAACAGCTACCTTTGGTTTAATTTTGTTAATACTTATCTTCTCTTTACTGTTTTTACCATATTTTGGCTTTTTCATAGGCCTCATCTTATCTAGTATATTATACTTTTTTGTAAAATATATAATTGAAAAAGATGCTGCAGAACGAGCAATAAGATTTACCAACCTTTTAAATGAATTGTTCGCGCGATACAATGAAAATGAAAATCCTGCTGTTAATTGGAAATTTTGGTGGGTTACATCCTTCGAAAATTACATTAGTGGTAAGGATGGGAGAGCTTTTGGAAATGGCCATATAAACGTGTTAAACATTAGCTACTGCTTCTGTCTTAAAATCAAGCTTGCTACTTTATTTGTTGATAATGCATTGATTATACTTGAAATCAATGACGCTCTCTCTGATCTTACCGCCAACACAGTTCGTGTAAATATTACGCCTGAAGCTGACCTTCCTACCAATACTACTCATGTTATTAATATGAAATATGATTAGTAAAATGATGATTCTGTTAATTTTGTTATATACTCATTTTCCAATCAAAAAAAATGTTAGCAATATGTAAAAAAATTCCAGTATAGGTAACCTTATATTTATATTATATTTATATTATATTTATATTATATTCATTGAGATTTTACATAGTTTTTAGTTTGTATTTTATATCAAAAAATTAAACAGAATGTAAAATGTCTTTAGAATGTACTACATATAAATTTCATCTAAATTTCACATTTTCATCTATATGTTTTGTAACATTATTCAACAAAAAAACTAAAAAAGAATTTACTAAAGGTTCAAAGAATTGTTCAAAATATAAATGATCTTTTAATTGTCAACCATCAAATTGAGAAATTATATTTGTACAGTATAATTGAGCTAATAATCAAACAAATTATCACTGGTTGAAATTTTGTCATTTGTTATAACAATTTATAAGCAAATGCTATGTGAATTATATGCGATTTCCTTTAAAACTAATATTGCCAAAAAAGTGCTGAATGGTAGAAATCGCATGCCACTTGGCATTTCCCATTCAGCACAAAAATGATATACATTTGGCATTATATAATATGGCACACAATCATTTACAATTAAACAGAAACAAATCAGCAAACTTTTGTTAATCAATCAGTTTACTAATGTCATTTGTAAACCAAAAACATTCATTATATATATCGTTTAATGTTATGATTTTAATTATCAAATTTTATTATAAATTCGATATAATAATGTGCAAGAAAAACAATGAAAAAAAATATTCAAAAAAGAATACAAAAATCGAAAATATAATATTTAAATGCAAAGAAGCAAAAAAATGAAGCAAAAAAACAAAAGAAAATAAAAGAAAAACAATGAAAAAAATATTCAAAAAAGAATACAAAAATCAAAAATATAATATTTAAATGCAAAGAAGCAAAAAAACAAAGCAAAAAAACAAAAGAAAATAAAGAAAAAAAATATAGAAGAAAAAAAAATATTAAATTTCTAAAGTTATTTTGCTGCTTCTTCTTCAAATTCATACTCACTTGAACTATCTACACACTCTGCCTCTGCTTCATTTGCAGCCTTCAAGTACCCGAATTTCTCCCATTTTAGCACTTTCTCCAATTCTATGCTCCTTCTTTTTCGAATACATTATAGCCAATTCATAGTCTTTACTATGAACTTTGGCCGTTGTTGACTTTTTAACCTTTTCAACTTCACTACCCTTTTTTTTTACCTTTTTCCTTAGCCGTTTTTTTATCTTTTTCCTTATCTATTTTTTTACTCTTTTTTCTTTATTTTCTTTTTTTTTATTTTTTTTCCTCTTTTCCAATTTTTTAATTTCTTCAATTCTTTCCAGACTTCTGCTTTCTCTTTTTTCAGTTCACTCCTTAGTCACCTCCTCTTCATTGGAAATGTAGGTCCATTCTGGCAAATGTTCAGACCTTGCAGCATTGTAAAAGAATTTGACATCGTCATAGATTCTTTTACGAAGTGGTTGTGTTGTCGGTAATGATTTTGCAGTATCGTCAAGTGTCTTTCTCAATAAAGTTTTTAACTATTATTAAAAAAATCATTAAAATGTCAAATATAAATTAAATTAAAAAATCGATAATAAAATTAAATTAAAAAATCAGTAATAAAATTAAACTAAAAAATCATAATAAAATCAAGTTAAAAAATTGATAATAAAATTAAATTAAAAAATCAGTATAAATAAACAAATAAACAAACAAATAAATAAATAAACCTTTTTGGGGGTCCACTAAAGCCTTGTACCCACGTGATCAATCATGCATCGCAATAATCACAATGTGATAAAATCATATTAAAAAACCCGTATGTTCATATATACTTAAAAAATAATTAATAATCGTATTATATATATAAAAAAAATAAACAAATAAATAATAAATAAAAATTATACGTATTTATAAAAAAATTCGTATTTAAAAAAAAAATTCGTATTTAAAAAATCATTAAAAAACATCGTATTTAAAAAAACTAATACAAATAAATCGTATTATATATCAAAAAAAATCGTTTAAAAATCAAATAAATAAATCATATTATATATTATTTAAAATCAAATAAAAAAAAGCATCATTATTTATCATTAATAAAATCGCTTTATTATTTTTTAAAAAATAAATCAGATTTAATCGTATATTTAAAAGTCATACATTATTTTTTTTTTAAAAAAAAACCTCATTATATAAATGTAAAACACCATACTAACCTTCACAACGATATTTATTTTAGAGCTTAAATCTGTTATCTGTTTTCATATTAAATTTGACAGATTTTACTATTAAATTTAGTTAATTTTTTTTGTAATTATGATCAAACTTGAATATTTCCACTATGTAAATTCTTATTTTATTTTTGAAATACAGTATGTAAAGGCTCTTTTTTAAAAAAACCATATGTATATTGCATAACTAAAATATAACCTGCGCTGATATTCCGTAGTATTGTAAAAATATCGGATGATTCAGCTTTAAAAATATAATATAGTTGTTAGTTAATTATAAATTTTATAATTAAACATTATATCAAATATTTACCTTCAATTGTTTGTTAAAACAGACCTTACACGCAAATTCAATTCTCTAATAAAAGAATTTGCTTGCTCAGCATTTCCTTTTTCCTCAACCTGCCAATACGTGTCATACACTCGTTTTATTAATTCGTTTATAATCATACGCCTATTTTCTGCAGCCATTTCAGCCTCTGATTTCTCCACCACGTCGATTTCAACCAATTCTCGACGCTCATATATTTCGAATCCATTATCTTCGAACATTTGCTGAAATTTTCTCCAAAAATCAACAGTTAATAGTTTATTGATACTATAAATATGGTCATGAAACATATGCCGACAGGGCAGTAAATAGCGATGGAAGAACAAACACTGACATTCTAATGATATTAGACCTGGAGGTTCTTTACCTTTTTCCAGCCTTTTTTCGACAGCCAAAGCTTCATAGACGACCATCTTTTGAACGAGGTAGGGAAATTTATAAATTTTGTTAAGAATTTCATGACCAACACCAAATGCTGATATTTTTTGTACGGAATTCAAAGGCCACATATTCAGCATCTGACCATTTTTTTACATTAAGTGATACTATGTTATGGCAGGCGCCAATCAAACCGTGATGGGGAGAGGTCATTCGTTTTAGCTCACTATGATATGATTCCAGAGGGTTGGTAGATGTTACTTGCAAAAGGAGCGGAGAGTGCTGGCGGGCCCAAAGAGCCCATTGGTGGGTATTTTTAGCATAATTTCGACCTATGTATTTTTGAATTGCGGGGACAGGACAATTGTCAACTGCCTGTTTGATAACCTCATCACAACCGATTTTTGTCTGTTTGTGCATTGCTCTAACCATTTCATTTCTAGTTTTTGTATCATACACTTTACTCATCCAGGTCTGCATAACATAAACAGTGCAAAAGATAATGCTACACTCCTGCTCGCTCGCTTGAAGACCCGGGAAAGCTAACTCAATTGTATTGGCCTCCACATGACTCTGATCAATAAGAAAATATCGAGAAGCCCAACGACACCCTAATCTTTTAATTATTTTCAATGCTTCGGCGACAGTATTGCTATCTTCCTTGCTTACGCAAAAATGCGCACTGATATTCCAACAGCCATGATTATCGCGAATATACAATGAAAACAGGCACCAATTATGTCTGTTCATCTTGTGCGTGGAATCAACAAGGGTCAGCTAGCCAAAACGTTGAAGTTTCTCTAGTTGATTTTTTTGGACAAAAATGAAACCCTGGGCACGTTGGTGAGGAACTTTATAGCGCTTAACCTGATACTCATAATTTTTTAAAAAAGATACCGCCTCCTAAACATCCAATCCCAGTTGTAGATTGCCAATAAGAAGAGCATTCTGGGATCCTCGAACTTTGTTTTTAATATTGGCAACCTTCTTATACTTTAACTCTCTCACGCTTTCACCAAGTCTAAATTCTCTTTTCCATATTCTTTAATTGCACTAGTTATCACCGGAGAAGGATAGTTTTTCACGGCTTCTTGCTTAACTAAAACTCGAACGGCTTTTGAACGTTTTAACCTTTCACTATCCTCCAAAGTATGCACATGATCGGCCGAATTTGAATACGGTTCAACTCGTACTTCTTGTTCAGTAACCAAGTGATATACCTTGATTTTGGCAGAACATTGATCACTGGGGCGAACCTTGGTTTTCTTACGTTTTTCGATCGTTACTCCTTCCTTTCGACCACTCGATTCATTGTACTTGGTGAACCGGCAGGTATATACTTTCCAAGAATTTCCATTGGTATGGATTTTGTAATTAAATTGGGTCCAAATATTGGACATGAGGGCCACTAGTCATCATCAAACTCTCTTAATGGAATTGTAACCGGTTGGTTAACATTAAAGAAAATATTGTGTTTCTTATCAGGGGTTAAATTTATTAAACTCATCTTTAATATCAACAAAAAACAAAATAAAAAAAGAAAACTTGATGTCTCAAAGATAAAAAAAAAAATAAGTGTGCGCGCAATGCACATAGATCATACAGAAAAAAAAAAAAAAAATGTACGTACAATATACGGTGAGTAGTATAAAAACTTAGTACAATACTTAGTTTAAAAAAAACTTGATACATGATGTACAATATTCAGGTTTAAAAAAAAAAAAAAAAAATTGTGGAAGCAAAAAAAAAAAAAAAATCCAAAAGAAATAACGATAATGCGAAAAGAGATCAAATGTAAGATGATCAATTAATTTTTCTTATTTATATTGATCACTCAATAATCATTATGTGATTATTGAGATACACGATTAATCACGTGGGTACAAGGCTTTAGCGGACCCCCTTTTTGGAATGCCATGTATAATTATAAACATTAACTTTTTTCTTTTTTTCCTTTTTAGAATCATTTTCATCTGTACCAGATGACTCAGATTCGGGATTACTTTTGTTTAGCTCCAGTGAATGTATATCTGTCCTTGCAAGCAA